TTTTTTTTTTTTTTTTTTTTTTTTTTTTTTTTGCCCTTAAAAAAATAATTGGAGTCTCATGTGGTTTCCGTTGCAGTTCCTAGAAGTTGTGAGAAACACACGTCTACGTGTAAAATGACTTTTGAATTTTATTTACATCTTACTTGTATCACTCCGTCTAATTTTCTACCTCGAAAGGTCAGAAAAATACTCGACATTGCAATAATGCACGTCACAGACATATCGAGACCAAATAATCATGTTGCAAATAATCCTATCTCAGAGGAATAAGCTCGTATAAAAAGCACATCCCATGCTTGATCAACCTTTGCAAATAATCCTATCTCAGAGGAATAAGCTCGTATAAAAAGCACATCCCATGCTTGATCAACCTTCATAAATAGAGATGATTCACAGCTTATACTCATAAAATGAAGTATTAAATTTTAATAAATTCATGACTTACACAAACACAGGTCAAAGCTATTGCCTTTTTAAGAAATTTGTACATAGGCAAAAACTAATCAGATTTACAATCAACTATTTAACCAGACACAAAGTGATACTTGGATTCCACATAACTCTCAGCATCCCAAAGAAACGATCCAAATGTAACTGCCTCCATAACCAACATCGTCAACCCCGCGAAAGTGATACTCACAAGCTCATCATTTGAAGTATCGAGCGAACCATCCTCCGCGATTCTGATGTCGGGTCTCCCAAACAACGCCTGTGTCTGCTTCTCTATGAGCGATATCGCCTCCTTAGATCTTATTGTCGCATATTTCTGCAATGTCTCTGCATCCAAATACATAACATATGACCTCAACCGATATGGCTCATCACTATCAAGAGGTTCGGAAGTATCGCCATCGGGTGAAATTTGAACCATGGATTCCATATCCCAAAGAGGATTAGGTTTAAGATTTTCAAGAACTCGAGGGTCAGTAATTCTCGGTGGAAGCGTTTTCATGCTTCGCTCAAGCTGGTACCTTTGATCTACTCTTTTGAGGAAATAACCGTACATGATTGAGGCAGCATAGAGCTTTCCAAGCTTGAGCTTGCTGATCTCGACCATGGAGCTTAAGGGTCCTACAAATTTTTCCCCAATGACGAGATTTAGGTGGCTTTGTATCATTTCGAGAGCGTCAGGGGAGTGAACTGCTTCAAGTTTTTGTTCTTGGTTTGGCCATGAGTCAACTTGACCAGTAGGATAAGATGGTGATAGTGATGGGATCATAGAGATGTTGTTCTCTGTGAATTTGTGAATGATGAAGCAGTAGATGATCTCCTCGAGAGTTCTTTGTCTTTCCTTGTTCTTCACTTCGGCGATTCTCCTGGAGGAAGATGGGTTTTTTTTTTTTTTTGGTCAGGATCATTTACACTTAGAGAATGCAGTATTTATATGAGAGAAAAAAAGAGCCAAGAGAGATTCTACAAAGAGGGTGATATTCTTTTTATTTATTAAAAAAAAGTTAGCCAAATGGATCACGGCAACAATATGTCACAACTAGTAAAGGCTTAGAGATATTAATTTATAGTTTAGAAAAAAAATCAGAAGTACCGATTATGATAGCTAAACTTCTAGTAATAACCAAGCATTTAACCATTTTAGTTACAGAAAGAATATTAAAAGGGTCTAACTTTTATCAATTAAAGCCTAAATAACTTCAGTTCTTATGTTAAAAGGGTAATACCCTTCATCAATGAAAGCCTTTTAAAATAAATTTAAGTAAGTTGAATCTTCCATTATTTTCCTCCGGTCCATGTCTTTGAGAGGCGAATTCAGTGTTCTCTCCTCATGAGGCCTACTAACAATCACCCAGCGTTTATGATCAAATCCAGGATTTCCTTAACCCCCCCCACCCAGTCCCCCACCCCACCCCCTAGACTCACAAACCCTACCATTGTACACCAGTATTCATCCTATAGCATAAGTCCATTAGATATACATTTCTCATTCTCAAGATACAGCAATCCCCCTCATTATTCAGTTACATTCTATATTGTACTTGCACATTTATTAAGGATGTACATATTTCTCTCTACAGCTAGGATGATTTTCTATTATTTCAAACGACAAAAACATCTTTAAATATGATATAACATGAGACGAACTTGTCAAGCACAGCCTCCATTTAGCCAAAAGAACAACTTCAAGAAGTTTTCTCGAGCATTCAAAACAAAATTTAAATGTGAGGATTATCATTGTAGACTTGTATTACATTTTGGTCTTTGCATCGCAATTGCCAATTAGAATAACCAGTATATATTGATCCTAACAGTCAAACATCACTGGCTCGATTAGTTCAACATGGGGTTCTCGCACACGCCACCTCCAAGTTACTTATTGCAATAGCTCAGCTATTACTGCAATGACTGGTGCTACATGAGATTTCTACTTATCATTGTACATGATCAAATTGAGTATGTTTTAGGGCAGACAGATCGATAAGAGAGAATGGACATGACAAACATATAAAGAAACTTGTTCGGTTATATTATTGCACTATTTCTTGCAAGTTAAAGGGTTTCCTGGAGAATCAGGTGACTTTGTGTCACAATGCAAAATGAACAAAAGGACAAAATATACAGAAAAAGGAGAAAACTTATTTCAAGAAGATGAAGTTCAGAAACCTCTTCTGACTATCATGTGACAAATGATGAGAGATTGATTTCTGATGGCAGAATTTGGCAAAGACTATTTATAGGGTGCCGCGTTAATTTCTGAATGGATAGCCTCGGTACTTTTCTCACTCTAATGGAAAGACGGTTCCCTAGTCAGGCCACAATCATTGGTAAAATCCAGACTGACACTGTCAACTGTCAAGTTCAACTAGGATTCTGCAAAATGGACAAAAGATTTATAGCTAGTGCAGGCCAAGAAAAATGAAAGGTTAAAATGTAGGATTTGTAGGCTTAAAGTAAACAGTTCCTCTATTGCTCTGGCTAATATTCGACTGCATTAGGAAAGGGTATGAAACAACGTATAAATCTTAATTCCATCCAGAAGTAAAGAATCAACTTGGTAACACTTGAAGCATCATCATACTTCGTGCAGTTAAACAACATGGTGATCAAAACATAAAGTGCAACTAACTGATGCTCGGAATACAGGAACTAACCTATAAAGGAGAAGATCTTGAGATTTCGGTGGAGTTTCTTTCTTTTGAGCATCTCGATCTGATTGAAGCAATTCAAGCTGCTGATCAATGGCCGCTGGAAGTAGATGAGGATGGGTCTGTATTATCTGTGACAAAAGTTGTCCTGTTGGTGACTCACACTGAAGAGGAGCAATTGGAGACTGACCCTCTCCAGAACTTCCTGTGGCTCTCACTTTTACACTTCTCCCTCGCTGATTTTCCAATCGGATTCCAATTTTTGGCCAGACTATAGAGGGATAGATCTGAAATAACAAATCTACAGTGAATCAACACAATACATTATTGAGCATTCAGGCATTGCTCCGAAAACACTTGCTTATATTGTTCAATTAGCACCCTGAACTGAACGCTGTTAACTACATTTGTGTACTGCCCTATACATCAAGGGGACAATTTGTAAAATTTGGACAAAAGAAATGCTTTTACTCTGATTTTAAAGTTAATGAATCAACGGAATGAAGGAAATT